AGCGTAGGGCGTAGACGTATGCGGTGCGGTAGGAGAAGAATCTCTGTAACATAGAAAATGCAGAGAAGATTGATTGGAGCAGTGTGCGTGAGCTTTAATGGCGAACGAAGAAAGCTTTAACAGTTATGACAACGGAGAAGAAATAGAACGAAGAAGAGACGAAAAAACGTATGAGAATCATAATAACAAAACCATAGAATTTAATTAATTATTATTATTATTATTTTAATTTTTAATTAGTCGCTATTCTTTGATCGTATTGTACAACGGAGACGGAGAGGATGTCCACCAAATGAATTTGGAATAATATATATTTTTTTTTAAATAATTAAAATAAATAAATAAATATTTAAAAATTAAAATGTAATAATAAGACGGTCGAGGTAACAGAGAGGCGTTTCCCACGACTTTATCATATTTATGTCGTCATCCGAGTAATCTTTTTTTCTTATTATTTTAATAATTCCATTTTCTTCTATGGTTTTCTTTAATTAATTAAAGTATTATTAATTTGATTAAATATTTTTAGATTTAAATTCCCACTCATATATTTATTAAATTAAAAGTATTTATTTAATTATAATTCTACTATTTAGGCTTATGCTTCAAATTTTCATGAGATTGAAAACGTTGTGCTAGTCAAGCGCCGTTGGTTGACCTTTTAAGAGACATGTTGTAATGTTTACGGTCGATAATCAATTTGATGTTCAATCCTTTTAGAGATGGAGATCAAACATGTTAAAATCTTGTAATGCCCCAGATCCACCACTAGTAGATATTGTCCTCTTTGCGCTTTCCCTCCAGACCAGACACGTTAAAATCTTGTAACGCCCCTGATCCACCACTAGCCGATATTATCATTGTTAAGGATATTTAGTAATAAATTATAGTTTACCATATATATTATATTTGATATTTTATTATAAGGCAAATATCTAACATTTGCGTTATTACTATAGTATCTTTCCATTTATTGTTATTTCCATTTATTACTATTTCCATATCCTTGTAATTTATTTGATTATAAATAAGATAACTTTCACACCATTTAGGTGTGATGGATTCAGCAAACATTCACAATCATCTTTGCGCTTTTCCTTTTAGGCTTTCCCTCAAGACTCGACACGTTAAAAGCCGTCTGCTAGAGGAAGGTTTTCACACCCTTATATGGTGTTTTGTTCTCCTCCCAACCAATGTGAGACTCACAATCCATCCCCCTTTGGGCCCAATGTCCTTACTGGCACACCACCTCGAGTCTACCCCCCCCCCCCGGAGAATAGCGAGAAGGCGGGCACATCGTCCAGTATCTAGCTCTGATACCATTTGTGACGCCCCAAATCCACCGTTAGCGGTTATTGTCCCCTTTGGACTTTCCCTCAAGACTTTAAAATATGTCTGCTAGTGGAAGGTTTTCACACCCTTATAAATATTTACCAGAACTATATTTATGAAAATTAAAATTTTAAACAAAAAAAAAAAAGAAATTTACCGAGACCAAATAGTCATAAAACTTAATTATTTCGTGACTTGTTTTGAATGCAATTGATATTCAATCTTTTTTTTTTAAATTATTTTTAACTAATTTGTCACTCATGCGGTATAAAACATTTTCTCTCGAAACGTGACTTGATATTCGATCAGCCTTGTTCAACTGTGCCCATGAACCCGTAAGCCCTCGAGGCAGGGCGAAAAGAAAGAAATGCTCTGGCTTTCTTTGGTCTTGAACTTGCTCCCCGCTCCAGAATGAATGTTTGTGTTAGAATTATGGGTGGAGTATGATTTTTATAGAACTGACTTGTTCACTAAGTTAGAATAGCACAATTATTGACCCAACAAATTTGTGGTAAAATTTACATTAAAAATGTACAATTAAACAATAAATTAATTTTAAATAAATAATAATAAGTTTTTTTTAATCCTTTTAAGCATGAAATGAATAACTAAAATCAATGTTGGCTCTTTACGAACGAGATCATACTTCAGCTGGAGAGTCGGTATCATTCTTATTTTGACCCCTTAATTACTAAATATCTACTGAGGGTTATTAATATACCTCTGTGTTCGAGGAGAAATTTCATCTCCAATACCACGGCTCTCTTTGCTATAACCGTAATGAGTAAGGCTGTCGAATTGATATATCTCTATGCCAAAATAGATCCAGGTCGTTTCGTTTCTGTCTTTATCATGAAATTATGGATGACCCTAAAATAAACATCTTCATAGAGGTCTAAGATCATCTAAGCTATCGGTTTTTGGGAGTTGTCCAAAACTGCGGCACGCTCGAGCATTTGTGCAACATAGTCCATCGAGCTATCCCCACGCTTGAAGGCACCAAATCGTGTAAATTTATCTTCTAGGATCTCAGTCTTAAATATCAATCCTTGGACGAGGTATCTTGTCTAAGCGGCCAGCTACCATATCAATCTCGTTGACTTTGTTGGCAATCTCATCCGAGAAATATTCTAAATTTTGAATACGGCCAAAGATTTCTTACCAATAAAACATATTTTCTTCGAACTCAACCAATAAACATGATTCTAATACAAGCTATCATAATTGAAATATAATCGCTCATTCAAAATTATTTAAATAAATAACTTAAGGTTAATAAACAATGATCAAAAGTGAACGTAATAAAATTTGGGTTTTTAGTAGACTCCCGTTTACCCGTCTCTTATAATTTATTAGTGAGTAGGGTTAGAGATGTTCGTTTAACTCTCGAGGAAGGGAGTGACGTGAAATTTCTCTCCTTTAGTTAAGTGAGAACCGAGACTGAGATTATATTCTCTATCTCCATTCATATTAAGTTAAATCCTCGTCTAAAAAAAAGCACTTTGTAATATTAAAATTTATATTATATTTGTGCTTATAAAGTATTATGAGATATATTATAATGTTTTAAAATTTTAATAGAAATTATATTTTACATTTTTAATTTTTTGAATATATTTAAAAAAAATATATATAAAAAAGTGAGTAATATCACCGTTCTTACAAAAATAAATAGAAAATTTAGCGGGAAGAGGATTTGAAATAGAAGACGAGGATGGAAAAGACATCTCCGCCCCCGACGAGAATGAGGATGGAAAAGACATCTCTGCCCTCGTCCGCTCGGTAAATATCTTTGGGTACTAAGGTAAATTTAGTGAATAATTTATCGTTTCCATAGCCACGTTATAAAAAGAAGAGGCGAACAGAGGCGAGCGGGAGGAGGGTGCATTAATCAGTTGTGGAGTGAAAACTATAAAGGTATGGCGGGGAAGGGAAAGAGTGTGGAAGATGGTGGTGGTGGCGGGTGCGGAGGCGGCGGTGAGTTGCAGCCAGGTGATGGAGTGGCTAACTCCGTGCATCAGCTACGCGTATTACGGAGGGGAGGTGGCGCCGGAATGCGGCTCTGCCATAAAGAGCCTGATTTCGATCGGTTCCACCACCACCGCTGACCGGAGAACTGCATTACGAATGGCATTTCCGCAATGCCTGGAATCAACTACGATCTCAGAGAAATGCGGCGCCACTGTTCCCTACAAGATCAAGTAAAACACACACTCCTTCCCTTTCTCTTCATATATGGTATAGAAATTTTTTGTATGATGAATCTAATAATATGTTTGAACAACTACTAATTCATAGTATAATTCTGATTTGAATAAGGTTGGGACAAATGATTCATAGGTCAAAATAATGTTTACGCAATTCAAAAACAATTAGCAAGTCACAAAAAATGGAGATAAGAAAAACCAGTCTAAAAAAATCAAAACAAAGAACAGACTAATCAAACTCAAGGATTCCAACAAATCAACCCACCCTATGTGTTTCTGATTCTGAACCAGCGCACCAAATGGCCTCTAAAAGTCGAGCTATAAACAATAATACACTTGACACCAAGCTCATGAACTGGACATGGACATGAGCAAGTCAGCAAGCCGGCTACCAGTCTGCATCAAAATGTGGCGCTACTTTCACTAGCAGAAAGAGAAGGGACTTCTGATTTCACCAGAGGAGATCCATTGCTGCTGATATCCAGACCCTGTAATCGCCCAAGTGGATCACTCTGCATGGTCTCAGAGAATTGATGTGAATTCAGCTGATGATGCAGAGGATGTATTGACATGTTTGATGAGGAATGGCCGTATAATGGCATCTGCAGCATGTTGTGGGTGCCGGCAGAACCTGGCTGCTGATGAAGGGGAAAGAAACTGGATGCTAAATATGGCATATGAGGCATTCCCCCCAAGTTGAAGGAATCGGAGGCGCCTGATGTCTCTCCAGTGGCTACTTTGAGCCTCTCAACTTCGTTCTTTAGTGCTTCATTCAAGGCTGTGTCACATAGACAATGATGATTTCTATTAACCAAGGCGAGAACATGTGATGATAGAAAGGAAAATTCTTAGGATAATTTGGTGATACTAGTGATCTAGGAAGTGCTTACCATCCCGCAAATGAGCCTGTTGCTCCATTGCCTGCAACCGAAGCTTAAGTTCTGTATTTTCACTACTAAGACCTGTCGTATCCCTCTATACAAAAAGCCCCATGTTTAATACTAAGTTAGATAATATGAAAGGCTACACATTCTTAAGATGGCGCAGGTCTGAACTGAAAAGGAGCATGGACAAAAAGAAAACCGTAACAAAATATCTTGCTTGTGACTAGTGTTGATCAAATCAAAATCTTGTCTTTTCTTTCTTTTTTTCTTTTCGATAAGAGACAAGTTCATTGATGGTTGAAATTAGACCTTCTCAATTTGGAAGGAGGGAGGTATAACTATAGGAAGTAAAAATATTAGACAGTTTATACTAAGATATAGTCGAAAAGTTTTATATAGGTCTGTGTTTTGTCTGCAAATATTCTCTGATTTCTTTCTTTCCACGTTCTAAAAGAAAGTGATATGAGCTTACAAATTATACAAAGTTATGGTTGTGAAAATATGGATCAATCTGTTCAAGTTCAGTTCCTCAAACAACAAGAAATCATAAGTAGAAGCATGTCACAAAACCATGTAACTTTTTGGTTTCTTGAGATTAAAATGCAAGCCCAGAAAGAATCTAGAAGACAAATACATCAGAATTAAACTTTCCAAGCCAAAAAGTAGCAATAGAATTGAGACTAAGTTGATATGTTAAATAAACCAAGAGCTAAGTAGACTCAAAAAAGGTTCTTGCTCAGAACTTCCCAAAGCTTTTAAAGATGAAAGCTTAGTTTTGATTTAGCAACACATACCTGGAACAGTGCGAGTTGAGCTGAAAGAGTTGTCGCCTCTGTTTGAAGGGTCTGAACTTTGCGCTCGAGCTCCTGCATGTATCGTGCCTTCCTCTCTTTAGAACGGGAAGCAGACTGTCGATTGGCCAAAATCCTATACAAGGACAACACAAGGAAAACAGCACTGAATAGATTCCTAAATGAAGATGGTTGAAAGTGCTGAATGCTAAAATGAAGACATGTCTGGTAACTTCGTATATCTCTTCAATTTACTTATTTATTGCTATCATTATTATTCATCCGTGCAAAAGTGAAGCTTTAAAGATGTGTAGAGGCAAGAATTTGACTGAATAGATATGTAGACTATAGATGCAAGTGGATACATGTTTTTCCTCTATGCTTTGTCTTTTAATCTCTCCCACACAACTTCCCAAAACCTTTGATTATTAAACCATCCCATTCTCCAAATTTCTACATCCATGAAAACCAAACTTAGTCGAAAGCGCCTACACCTAATAGCTTAAGCCGCTGCTCCCATTTTCTCGCTGACCCATCATGCAAAAGGTACGCCATTCCTTTAGTTTCTCATAAGATGCACTTTTATCGACATAATGAAATTAAAAAGAAAAAACCCAAGCTAAGGAAATCTCCAAAAGGTCTTCCAACAAGTGTAAAAAGAACCATACCTATAATTCCCTTTGCAGCAAGAAGCAAGAAGGAAAAAGTAAAGTCTCCCAGAAAACCTCAAGAACATTCTTCTATCCTCTCCATCCAAGCAGACAAAAAAGAAAAAATTCTCTCAAGAAAGTTGGACAGATCAATCTTTGTCTCCCTTTTGAAAGGATGAGTATCCAAAATGAGAGTAAAAAGAGCATGATGCCATTCATAAAGATTGGTCCAGTCAAAGGAGCTGAAAATAATACAACAGAACCACCAGACATAACGACAAGGAAAGATAGCTCTGAGTTTCATCCCTAGACTTGCATAGGCAGCATTAATTAGGGTAAGTGTCTTCAATGACATCAATAAGAGAGTTTTTCTGGTCAAAAAGCAAGAATTATAGCATACCCATATCCCTTAAGTTTCTCCTTTCCCTTGATAATTGTTTCCTCTTCTCTAATATGACTACCTGCAGGATCTGGGCTTCTTCAAACCCTTTCTAAATTCCCTTCTCAACTCTCCCTAGAATCTAGTTTAGCAATTGCTCAATTGATATGAACCTAAATTGAGCACGTCCCTTTCTCTTCCTTCATTACTCTGACCAGATTTGAGCCACATCTATACGCTACAATGGGTCCACCCTGTAAAAGTGAGGGCTCATTGTTCAAATCTCTAAAGGAGAGGGTATCAGAAGTAGCGCTGAAGTTATTGGGAACAGTGCAGTGAGGGTTATTTTTATGCTTAGAGCTCAAGTTGCTTGGATTTTGGAGGCAGAAAGAGGTCCAGTTTCATTAAATCTATTGACCATGAGCATTAATCAGTTGAATCAAGAATGAATACGCATGAAGAAGGAAGACAATGGAGGAAAAGAGAGAGAGAGAGAGAGAGACCTCTTGGCGCGCTTGGGATCAAGAGTCCAAAGCTCAGCTAGTTTATCAGGAGGCATAGCTTTCTTGGCGTCCAGTACATCCCCAAACACACTGGTAGAGGTGGAACCATCAACAGAGTTGCTATATCTATGCCTCGGTCTGGGAGTCTTCTCAGGTTCAGCGTTAGCGGTGTGATCTGCAGAAGAAGTGCCGGGGCCAAGCTTGTCTACATCAATGTAGGTGGAAAAGAGGTCGTCCTCAGATCCGATCTCGTCCAAAGCGAGGGCGGCGGATCCGGCAGTGAAGGGATCAGAGGAAGAGAGATCCATGATGTCATCAGGGAACCGAAATGTGAGTTCGGAGTGGGCCCTGCGGTGGTGGGGTCTGGTAGAAGAGGGCGGCGGCGGCGGCGGCGGAAGATGAGTATTGGGAGTAGAAGCATTGTTGGAGATGGAGGAATCGGGATTTGACGCCGGATCTTGCATTTCCGAAGCTACTGTAAATTGTTGGGCTGTGAGTGCGGGGAAGATGGCTCTGCCGTTGGATTAGTGCAAGCCATTAGTCCGGCGGTTCGTCTTCTTCATCATCTTCTTCGGTGTTCTTGTTCTTCTTGTTTGCGCGTCGCTAGCAATGGCGACAGTAGAGGAAAGTAGAAATTGCTTAATTTATTAATGGCGTCAACTGCCACTCTTACTGTAGTAGACACTAAAATTCTCTATCCACAACCTCTTTTCTTGTTCGTGGATGTTCGTGGATAATGCTAACTAATTTTTATTTATCAAAAAATTTAAAAGTTTTTTTTTCCTCCGCAAATCAAACAAGTTCATATGACTTGATAACTCGAACATTAATTTAGATTACTCAATCCAAATTAAAAAAGTTGGGTTGGATTAGATTTTTTTTGTTTGGATTTGGTCGTATTGGAAATTTGAAAATTTGGTTCGGTTTGTTTGTTACCAACGTGAAAATAGTGAATGAAGATAGATATTTGATATTTGAATTTTTACCGGCTTTTAGTTAATGTATCGTATAACATAGATAAGTGTTCTTTTAATAATTTTAAAAAAAATAACAACCTCGACAACCTAAACCAACCTGAAAGTATAATTGTATTTGGGTAGCTCCAATCACCAATCCAACGAATCTAAAATTTCGAGCTGGTCCAAAAAAAAAATTATAACTCAATCCAATTCATGTACAACACTTCGATTAAATTTAGAATATGTAGTCTAAAAAAATTTATTAAGATTTAATAGAATTTTTTATAAATATAGGTCGATAAACTATTTCGATGTGAGGTGTATTACACGAGGTAAATTGGAAGAATTTTTAATTTAACCTATTTATATGTTTGATTTTTACAAATTTTAATTCATTAACTCCGGTTAGTTTTATTATGGTCAATTGTAATGTTTATGAGAAAAAAGAAAAGAAGAAATTTTTTTTTAAGCCACATGTAATGTCTCTTGCTAGCAAGTTTATGAGATTGTTATTGATATTTAAGTACGTGTTATGTCGGGTGGGAAAAATCGGGTGGTTTTTCTAAAGAGTCATCAATTAACTTCTAATAGTATTTTTGTGTTACCGAAATAACCCACAATTTCAATTTGCGAGCTTTCATTTGTTTTCAAAAGTTCATATCATGCACTAACGACCCTTTAATGTTGAGTTTAATAAATAAGGTTGCTACATCAATTCAAGTATAGATTAATGAATAAGACATCTATTTCTTTCCTAAAAGTTGTATGATTCCTACTATATTATTCTTATTGTCTTCCAATTCACAAAGATAAGAATGAGGCATGTAAGTCTTTTGGTATTGCTCGGGCCGAGTTAAGTAAAAACGAGCCATCAGAGCCGATGATTTATCATAGCTAAATTTTAGTTTTAATCATTTTTAGTAGATAATTTTTGTTTTCCAAAGTTTTAAACATACACCAAATTTAAATTTCATCCAAACTAAAACTTAAATAAACAATAAAACTTATATCTGATTCAACACTTAATGGTTCTGACATTCTCTTATTCTCTTGCGACATGATCAAGTTACTTATTTTTCACTTTTAAGAGTAAAAACTATCCGCACATACCAACACAAATTCTTTTACGATGTTTAATCCTTATTAATGTGTCCTAAAAAAAATTATAAGATATGACTTGGGATAAGATTACTCCAAACAAAATATAGAGCCAAGATGGGCGAGTTGGTCTAAGGCGCCAGTTTTAGGTACTGGTCTAAAAGGGCTTGGGTTCAAATCCCATTCTTCACAAAAATGTTTGATGTGTTAATTATATAGATTAATTTTGTATCACTTAATAATGAACTAATCCTCCAATCTTAAATTTAGTTAATTTAATTATTTTATTTGAGACACCAAATATCTAATTCTAACATAAAACGGATAAATAGATTTAAACGTCAAAATAATACAATATGAATATAAGGAATTGGCGAAACCATGAAACTAAAACGGTAAATGGTGGCGGTGAGCCGGAGAATGAGGGGACGACATGGCGGCGAAACGAGAGCTGTAAACGGCGGAAATATCCACACTGGTTGTGGCCGGTGCCCATGGGCTCTGACTTGCCGACATCATACTCATGGAGTTCGTTACCCCGCCGCCACCGCCACCGCCACCGCACCCTCTCAGTGGGGCTCTCTCTCCTCTCCGGCGAGGCCCTTTCTCCGCCCACTTAAGCTCTGCGTGCTTCACCGCAGTTGAGTACCTCCAACCGAAGCACCCCACATCTCCTGCCTCCCCTATGTACCTGATGAATGATGATACCCCATTCAATTTTGGTCTCTAATGTTTAATGAAGTTTTAAATCAATTCCTATAAAGTTGGAGGGTTCAATGATTAACCTGTGGCTGAATTTTCTTCCCAAACATTCTATGCACTTTCTTCCCTCCGTCATCTCCCCCATCCCAATTCTCACACATTGCCGGCAGTAAACTCTTCCACAGACCTGCCAGATTCATAGCAATATGCATGTGTTTTCAGTGGATTGTTTCTGTAAGTGTGTTTTCTTGTGTGTTAGAAATGAAATGGATGCATACCAGGCAACGATGGCGGAAGACATAGATGTAAGTGGTGCAGTTGGTGCAGATATTGGAGTGAGGAATCCCCGGGCGGCGTCTCCCCGGCGTGGCTCTGTGATGAAGATACGTGGAACCCATGCCGCTGATGCGGCTTGCCTCCTCGTAGGCTGCACTGTACTCCAAAGCCGGCCTCAACCCACCAACATGGGCATGCATGTACTCATGCTCCGAAGTTGGACGGCTTTGAATGTGGCCGGCAGGGGCAAGCGGCGACCCACTACTACTCCCACCGACCTGCGCACTCGGATGGAGGCTGATTTTGGCGTCAGGGCGGGAGTATTGGTTGGCCGCTTGGAGGGCTCTGTTGAAGTCTAGGCTGGGGAGTTTGGTTAATGGGGTGCTTTGATTATCTCTTGGGATTGGGATTTGGATTGATGGGTTGGCTCTGGATTGAACATTGACGTCTGTGAGATGTCGGAAGGTGAGATTCACTGACTCGTCTGGCACTCCCTCGTAGAGTGCTTCAAGCTCCATTCTTGCCTTTCTGAACCCTCCTCCATCATCCATGGCGGATTAGATTCCAAATACTTGGGACTTCAAAGGGTCTGCTTTATAAATCATCACCATTGGCGGCTCCATGGATTAAAGCCAAAAACCTGGCCGGTATCTGCCATTCTGGACTATTTCCTGCATCATTTTCTTCGGCTCAAACAAGATAAAATATATCAATAATCTCGATCTTATCGATGGATAAAGATAAATGAATAAAGAAATGAATGATGTTTCATTTGGCTAACTCATAATGAAAGCAAATAATGGGAAGAGGTCAAAGGACAAAACCTGTGTGCTTGGGAATCTCTTCAGAACACTCGGCCAAGATCGAAAAGAGCTCCTCGGCCGGACTATTTAAATAACCACAAATTCCACTGCTACTCTGTCTTCAACCTGTTGTTTGAAGACGCGTTTCCTGAAAGTTGGTCAACTAGAATTACAATAACAGAAGCTGCAATTTTAATGACGCATCATGTCATTCACTCAGAAGCTTTAGATTACAATATTATGCATTTTGTCACTCTTGCAAACAGCTTTTGCAATTGAAAGTATCCAAAGACAAGTTCCTTCATATCTCTTGTAGACTTGAGAAGCTACAACATACATTACAATGACTCCTCATTGCTAATAGGAGCGAGAAGTGAGGCTGAGAGATCAATCAATGAACTTGTATGATAAACTAAAGAACGTTTATGTTTCAGTTATATTATTTATATACCAGGTGAATAAAAGAGATGGTAAAAGAAATAAAAGAAAAAGAAACCCAAAAATGTTTAAATCTCAATGGTGCCCTCTGCATCTATCACTTGTGCTCTCGTGTGCTGATCCATGGCATCCTTCCTCAGACAGGCGTCTCTCACTCTCTGCGCTACTTGGTTGACTGGATTGTTGCTCACTCGTGACGCTGGAGACGCCAATTTGCTTTGAGTAACTATCTAAAGGTTGGCTGGCGGCCTCAACAAGACTCATCATGCTTAATCCTGCTACTTCCAGTTGCATGTCCTCCCGGTCAGGGTGGCAGTTCAAGTCAATTTGGCCACTGCTATTTGCAGCCTCCTCATCTTTTACTCGGATCTGACTTCTTTCGTTCTCTGAATGGTTTGTTTGCAGAGATGTACCCCTCAGTGTCCCACTGGTTCCTGATTCATCAAATTGTGAATTCCCCTCCTTGAGTGAAGTCTCCATTTCACGTTCTGATAGGCGTTTCTTCTTGCGAAGCATGAGCGTTTTAAAACGGCGTTTTACAGTCAAGCAGACATTGCATGTGCATGTGGATTTATGCTTTCCCTTCCCACTTGGAGGCTGAATGCACACAATGCAAGTGCATCCTTGTCGGTGTCGAGGATGCCTAGTTGTTGTACCTGATTCCTGCAAGTCAGCCATACTATCACCCAGAACAGCAGCACTAGCCAGTGCATCCAAACCAGAAGGCTCGAGTTCTTGAGCAGACTTCTGGCTCTTCATGATTTTACGTTTCTTAAAATCTGAAATACATAGGGCATAAAGGATCAGACACCAAATAATACATTTTCCTAATAGACATTTTATTTCCAAAACATTTTTAGTTTCAAATGACAGCTCAATGAAATGCAGTAAAAGAAGGGGAAAATTAACGACATGGTGAATATCGACATCACAACAATTCCACTGATTTACAACGAGTCTGATGTCAAGGGTAATCTGCAATAAGACTATCTGCCTCTACACCTCGCATCTCAACTTACAAAATCAAGTCAGTCACCTAAGGCGTTCACTCCAACAAACCTCAGTTACTGGAAACACACACCAAAGAAATTTCATCCAGCTATTATGCAATGTCTACATTCAGGTGCGACTAAATGCAGCTAAAACTACTATGAAAATACACTGAAGCATTTAATTAAGACATATGAACACAATCTTATTGATATTCCTTGCCCAAATTTTGATAAAATAACCTAAATGCAACAGCATTCCTTGCCAGATTTCACCACCCATCTAGACATGTTAACATTACAAAATATGCACCTACTGAATTATATAGGTTCTCCTTAATTCAAATGAGCCAAAAGCTTGTGTGGATGACTAGAAGGCTTGGTTGGTACCTTTACTCGCTCTTAGAAGATTCTCCTGTTCCTTTGTGTTCATCTCTTCCGGTGCAGAACATGTACACCTTGAAGTACAAGGTTAGAAGTGTTATATAATCTCCTTCAAGTTGTGGTAATTATACTTGCATAGAAAACCAATAAACCGCTGGAAAAGAGAAACAATTAGACAAATATTGCACCTGCTCAAATCCCAAATATTATCTGAACAAGTCCACTTTGGAGGAAGAAGAACATCCACAGGCAACTTCCGCCATTTTGAGCAATCATCACACTGAGCCCATTGTTTCTGTTCCCTGGATTATAACGGTCTAATCAGCAATAATTGATGACTTGTTTCTGTTCCCTACGTGTTTACATTCATAAATGGGCCACAAATCGTTGAAGCTAGATCGAGACTCAACAACAAGCTTTCAATAACATTACAATAACACTTGATGACTTGGATAAGCCTAATGAAGAGTTTATAAGCCAAATTTAATAAAATATCAATACTTATTGACAGTCCAACTCTTCCATCATTGGTATATACAAATTCATGAACATAAACCTTACCCCGTTGGTCGGACAGTGAATATAGTTCTCTTGCCAAAAACTGGAGGTTCCTGAACAATTTTACGACAGGGTCATGATAAAATCAGATGAATAATGAACATATATCATTTAGAGGCAAACCAACACAAAGAAGCCTTGGTTTCGAAAAAGAACAGAAATCCTACATCATACTCCTCAAATTCATGGTCATCGATTGTGACAATGGTGGGATTTGCACTTGGTGGAGGCCGGAGTAGATCTTGAGCTTCTTCCCATGTGAGTCTTAACTCCAAAGCATCTTCACTATGCATGAGCAACCTCTTATTTTTAGACCCAATGTTTCGAGTCCCCTTCTTGTCCATGGTTGACATCGGTTGTTGTCCTGAAGTCATCCTACCCCCAAAATTTTCGATTTTATGCAAACTAATATCTCCAGCTACAACAAAAATGGTCACAGAACAAATAGATGAGGTTGCATCCCAGGAAAATTAGTTCAAAGGTGGTGGTTTCTGTGATGGTGTTCCATATTCCTTTAGTTGTTTAAGGTGTCTTAGCACTGGGTTTATGTATTTTTGTAGTCAGATTTTAAGTACTGTGAATCTGTAACTACACTATAGGGTGGAAATTTCGGATAATTTACTGGACATCTTTTAGGGTTCAATTTGAAGGTTGAAATAGATCCACTCAACTATGTATAGAGATAAAAATTGATATTTTTTTTCCCTGAATAAAATAAGTGGCAATGAACAACCTCTTAAAGGCAAATTCTGAAAGACCCCAGAGAATGAGGCGTCACCCGAATGAGAGCCATTAGGAAGTGTAGAGATCTTGGCATCCTGTTCACTTCACCCTTTCATCAATCCACTAAAACAAAAAAGCATGATGATAAGAAAAGGCAAAGATTAACGATAATGAGTGAAAAACTTAACCTGTGTATCAGAAGAATTTGTTGCCTTTCGAAATCCCATGACTAATTGGCCTCCAGGATCTATCCGACTAAAGGTAACTGCATCAAAATATGAAATTTGATAAGAATCAATTTTTCTCTCCTGTGAACTTCAGATATTTACATCTACAAGTCATATCCTTCAAATTTGAATCCACAATTCCAAGCCAATAAATATGCAGTACAAATGCTTTTGAGCAAATGATTTCACTTTAATCATAAAGAATTGTAAGGCATAAATAAGGGTGTCAATTTTTTCCCCGGAGCCAAAATCCAATTTTCAAACCGACTGGAACAAAGAAACTTTCTAACCTCACTTGAATTTAAAGAACAAGGCAGAAATGCATTCCCGACATTTAACTACGATTTTTTCCAGTTTTCTAGGGGTGAAGGGGACAAGCGTGCACAGTAATTCATAGAGGAAAGTTAGAACCTAAAGGATTCAAAATATTAACCACGTAAGAAGGGAAATATTCGATAGAACACAAAATCTAGATAATACATAAACAAGAGAGGTGGCTCAAAATGATTATAACCTACTTCCCAAAGAATTTTTTACTGATATTACTGGTCAAATCACTTTGGTTCATGATGTGATGATTATACTCGCAGGAAACTCCCCTTCTTAAAAAAAAAAAAAAAAAAAAAAAAAAAAAAAAAAAAAAAAAAAAAAAAAAAAA